CCCCTCTCTCTCTCTCTCTCTCTCTCTCTCTCTCTTTCTCACCCGTCGATAAAGTTTTACAAATTACCTAAAAAGGATTAAAGTAATTAAGAAATAAAAAAAAAATCCGGGCAGCATGTCAGTGCCCAGACATGAGGCGTGCTGCCATTGCAGTGTCCATCCCATTGGGGTACTGCCATAATAAAAAAGGTTGGCTGGGGCACTGCTGATAGTTCCCTACCTATGGGGGTACCATCGCCCATGACTAACATAAGAAAAGGGGTTTAGGATTAGGGCTTGGGGTCATTTTGGAATGTGGGGTAAGGGAAACACCTCTGCTCTGGAAAAAAGTCAAAAGGGCGTACACCTAATTTAACAGGTGCTCGCGCAAAGGTGCAATAAGACTTTACCTATGAGGTACTCGGCTCTTGGGTTTTCTTTTTTCATTTTTAAGAAAAACCTTAACTCTAAATGATGTATTCTGCCTGGGTTTCTTTTATCCTTTTCCAAATCAGATACTAAAGAAAATGTCAAAATAAAAACCTATACCAATTACCCAGTCTCCCTAAAATAACAAAATGCTCTGAGAAAAACCAACTGAGATTGATTTCCCGTCTTCATTAGCTTAATACCCAAAACCAAGTCACCTCCATCCTCATTAGATCCAAGTCCACAAATCAATTTTCCTAGCCTTCTCAATTTCCCAAAATCCAGACCTTTCCCTACCATCTTCCGCAGTTGGCAGTGCGATCAACATCATCCATCAACTCTTTTCTCTGCAAATCTGCTTTGGGACCTTCACATATAATCAATCTCTCCCTTATTCTTTTATTATGAAGGGTTTAAATGAAGTTGAGTTGCACTTAAAGCTCCATTGCAAAATAATTGTTGATTCTGGAAAGGGGAAGACATTTTTCCCTAAATGAAGCTGGGTTGTAGTTGTAATGATGCAAGGCTTCATCAAAAAGTTCTAGCCCAAGGTAATAGTTCATGCAAAGGTTTGCATATATATTGGATGCAATATACAATATGATCTCACAGCATTTTGATTGGTGCATGGTTGTCTAATGGGTCCTAAGCTTCAAAATTTGACCACTTTGAAGGGAAAATGCTGGCAACTACTGAGAGATTATGTAAAGCGTGACACTATGATATTGAAAAGTGCATGTTTTGATAATGCAAGGTATTGACCACTCTATTTTCAACTTGTTGCAGCCACTTTGGGAACATATTTGATGAAGATTTCTTCATTCATGCTCTCAGAAATCACGTGAATGTGGTCAGGGAGCTCCCAGTTGATATACTTGAGCGGTTTGACAATAATATAAGCAACATTGTGAATTTGAGAGTGAAAGGTTGGTCAAGTCCAGCTTACTATCTTCAAAAGGTCCTCCCAAAGTTGGAGAAAATGGGGTATGCGTCTTACCTGTAGTTTTATTTATAATTACAATTTGTTTTATATATATAATTTGAGAGACACCCTTTAGGGTCCCCTACAAAAAAAAATTCAATGATTCAAACAATCTATTTTTTAAGTCTACATTAAGAGATCATCCTTGCAAAAAATTAGACAAATCGGAAACCGTTTTGACATCCATTTGTGTCCAAAATCAATGAATACGGTGCTTTAAGAAAATACTAAAATTTCAATAATTCAATTGAGTGGTCAAATGATATCGGATTCAAGTGATTTCTTGTAGAGATAATCTTTGAATGAATATCTACAAAATAGACGGTTTGAATCAGTGAAATACACTACAGAGTGGGCCCTACAAGGGTGTCTCTCAAATAAACTTATTTGAGGGATCCCTCAACTGAAGCTCACTGTATATATATGTACATGGGTGTGCACTACATTGTATGTGACAGCTATATATAGTTTCCCTCAATCCATATTGCAGGGCTGTGCGCATTGCACCTTTTTCCAACAGATTGGCTCATGCAGTTCCTTCAAATGTGCAAAGTCTTAGATGCTTAGCCAATTTCGAAGCACTGAGGTTCTCAAATTCTATAAGAATTCTTGCAGATAAAATGGTCGATCGAATGATTAAAAGCAGCTCCCACAGGGGGGGAAAATATGTTTCAGTACATCTTCGATTTGAAGAGGTGTATATTTGTTCATCTTTTAAATGAACAGTTTCTGAGTTCTTCAGTAGCTGTTTTTCCTTAAGTTCTAAATGCTATTCTCTTTATCAAAGGACATGGTTGCGTTTTCTTGCTGTGAATATGATGGTGGGGAGGAAGAGAAACATGAAATGGATATTGCTCGAGAAAGAGGTTGGAGAGGAAAATTCAGGAGAAGGGGTAGAGTAATAAGGCCAGGTGCAAATCGTGTGGATGGGAAATGCCCTTTAACCCCGTTAGAGGTATAAAGCTGTCTTTCTTTCTTTTGATTTGAATTTCTTAATTTCTTTTCTGTTGCATGGGTAAACTGTTCTTAAAACACTTTAAATTAAATTCCTTAAACAGAACAAGCCTGTAACGCAATGTTCAGATATCTTTTACAGATAATTTCTACTTCTACTACAATCAACTACTCTGGAGTATAACAACAACAGTAGTAATAATTAACTGAAGTAGATACGTCATGCAGCTTCCAGTAATTATAAAATGTATTGCAGGTTTATTTTTTTAGTTTACTTTTGTAATTTTTTTTCATTTAGGGAGTAGGGAGCTATAATAGGTTTTATAGCTAAAAATATTGGGCATACCCAATATGAATGAAATCTGATTACTGTGAAAGATTCTGTTTTCCTTCTGTCATCTCTTTTGCATACTATGATTAGTGTGCAATTCTTTTTGAACTCTGACCAATGAAGTATCTTATGCTGTAGGTAGGAATGATGCTCAGGGGAATGGGATTTGATAATACCACCTCAGTATACATAGCAGCAGGAAAAATTTATAAAGCAGAGAAGTACATGGCTCCTCTTAAACAGATGTTTCCACGCTTGGAAATGAAAGACACACTGGCTACTGCAGAAGAACTTGCTCCTTTTAAGGTACCACATGAGTCATGTTATTTGCATTTTCCATCCAATTACACACAGAACAAAAGCAAGCATTAGCTTGAAACTAGTGATATATTTATTATACCATCTCTACAGTAGGTCCGTTGGGTTAGTGTCAAGTTAATCTTTTCAATGCCAACATTTCTGATGTAGGGCCACTTATCTAGATTGGCTGCTCTTGATTACACGGTTTGCCTTCACAGTGAAGTATTTGTCACCACTCAGGGTGGAAATTTTCCCCACTTCTTGATGGGTCACAGGCGGTATCTCTTTGGTGGACATTCAAAGACAATCAACCCTGATAAAAGAAAATTAGCGCTGTTGTTTGATAATCCCAGTATCAGGTAAAATGTAGTTGAACTGTCCAGTTACGTTTGTATTGATCTGTTGAATAAGTAACAGTTCTTTATTTATGTAAGCTACAACATGGGGGTAGTGGTAACTAATAACAGTTTTTTGTCTTTCTACATTTTAAATTTGTGCGTATTACAGATATTAAAATTCGATTGAAAATACAAAAATCATCTAAACAGTTCTACCGTTCAACTTTTTGTTTTGTGGTAGGCTAGGAATGTGCATTGTCATCTGTTTGATGTTTGTTAACTTTGAGAACCTCAGGAATCACTGTAATGGGTTTGTTATGGTTGTCGATTCCAAATTATATAAGAGAAATTAGTTGTATAAAGATTACACAAGCGGATAATAAAAGGGGCAAATAATGGAAGTTTAAGCACATAAACAAACAAACATGTATGCAATTTGTTTTACCTCCAATGACTTCTTGTTGATCTGTTCATTCACAGCCTCATTTTTCACTATAAAGCAGCTTAGACAAGCAACTTTACATGTTTGTTCATCGACATTTCTTATTTTGCAGATGGGAAGATTTCAAACGACAGGTGCAAGACATGCTTCGCCGTAGTGACCAAAAGGGTGTTGAACTGAAAAAACCCAGTGCGTCACTATATACATTTCCCATGCCAGATTGTATGTGTAAAGAAGCAGAAGCTAGAAACGACAACAGTAACACGACAAACAAGACTGATTTCAATACATAAAATTATTCACTAGGGTTACAATTTTTTTGTTCACCTGTAATTTAGTGTATCATTCAATTGTCATTTTAGAAAAGTAGTGTATCATTCAAATAAGTTGTGAAATTTTCTTTCATTTGAGTAGAGGGAAGTTTATCCTAAGGTATTGATTTTTTTGGTTGGTTTACTCTGCGACTTGGTAGTTTGTTACTCAAAATTCATTGTACATGTACAATAACGGATCAAGGGAAAATTCTTTTGCAGTAATCAAATTCTCTCCTTTCATTGTACATGTACCCCCATGTTGCCCTTATTTTTGTGCCCTATTCGGCAAGGACCAATTGTTTCCTTCTTTTATTTTGAGTGCTGCTAAATGAACCCTAAAATTAATTGAGTACACCTTACTACCAAACTATTTATTGAATTACTAATTTACCCTAATATAAAATGACTAAAAAGGATATATTGAATTGTGAAACAAATGTAATTTTAATATTAGTAATGCTACGGACAGCAACTTAAACACCAACTTTTTATTACCAATCGATGTGTCACATGACATGGATCATCTCTATTTTAATTTAATCAGATTTTTTATGTTTTTAAAATTTATTTAATTAATTTGTTTAACAACCAAACCCTAACATCATCCTAGCCGCACCATTGTCATCGCTGCAGTACTATATCTCCCATGATTTCACAATTGACGAACGTCCATAGATCCAATATGGCTTTTCTCTTTTGCTGGTTCCTCATGTCCTGGAAATCCCAAGTTTATTTGAGGCGATGTAACAATACAATGTGATGGACAAGATGATAGATGAGATAATCATATTACTTCTCCCAAATTGGGTTTGACAGAGGATTTTCCCCAGATTTGGGTGAAAAGACCTCCACTCTTTCCTTGATCAAGTACATGATAAGTGACGATATACAAAGTTTAAGGCCACATCCACAATGAACGAGACTTGAAATTTTAGGATAAAGTCAATTCTACTATTTTTTTATATATATTAGATTTATATTCTTTGTTCAGTCGCCCAACTTGATGGTTATTATATGGCTCATTGTGATAAAGTATATTAGAGTGTGCTAAGGGTATTTTTGGAATTTAAATAGGGTGAACTTAGTTAATTTTACATTTTGATTTTAATATTAGGGTGTACTTAGATTATAGGGTGTACTCAGTTAATTTTAGGGTTCGTTTAGCAACACTCTTTATTTTTCACCTCTAATTCAGTTGACATTTATTTATTGCTTAAAATGGAATAGGATATTTTACTAATATATTTTTTTATATAATTATTTTTATTTATGCAGAATGTGTTCTTGTCCAAAACGACATTGGTATTGGGTCTAGGGTTGAGCATCTTGGTTTTAGATTCTGGGTTTTGCATTTAAGGTTTATATCAGAAAGGTAATCGAGTGGAAAAAGACATTAGCAAGCCTTTGAAAGTTGAAACATCAACCGGTCTCAGTAATACTTCTCAATAAAGGTTCCATATATGTCCCCACTCTAGTTAGCACCAACCAGCTGATTGTGGTTAGCTTCACAAATGGTGAAAATATCTCTGTGTAATCAGCTCCCTCCTTTCGTTGAAATCCCTTGCACAATAAGCTTCTTCCTTACCTTAATCCAATAAACCCATTTGTTTCTCTAGGTGTTCTTTTGGTCTTTGGTAGTTTAGTGGGAGTTGATCTCATCTTGCATCACCAAATGTTCCAAATCCCACTTGATTGATTCCTTACCTTGCCCTGTCTCTTCATAACATTCAGGCTCAGAATTGTAACCGAATTATTACGGCCCGATTTAAAATCAAATCAAACCAGTTACTACAATTTAAATCAATCAATTTAGTCGGTTCAACCAGATTGAGACCTAACCTAATCACATGTCACTTGAGCTAATAAGACTTTTAGACAAGTGCATTAGCTTTTTTTCTTTTTTCTTTTTTAAAAGTTGGACAGAAATATTTTCGTTAGTGTAAATAGAATCACCTTGGCATGTGAGCTCCACCTGGTTTTCTTTCTTTTTTATCTTCTTAAAGTTGTTTTTTTCTTCTTAAAGTTTTCCATTGAAGTTGGCTACAACTAGACAAAAACACACGTACTTTTTTACCTTATCATATCCCTTCCCCGCTCTTCCAATATGCACCTGAGCCCCTTTTTGCAATCCTCCTTTGACAAGAAAATACCTTCTTAGAGCACCTTTGATAATGCTTTTGAGAATACTATGAGGATGGATTGGATAAGCAACCGCCTCAAATATGACTCGGAAAATCTCTCTTTAATTCGTTCAAGTTTATTTATTTATTTATTTAGATAAGATCATGTGGTCTATCTTAAGCTAAAAGACAAATATGCCCTCGAATAAGGCACCACCACAAGCCAACTAAGGAAACCTCAGCCCGCAGGAAATTGTTTGGCAGGCAATTGTCCTAATGTTGTGTCGTGTGTCCCTTTAAAGCCACATGGAAATGACGAATGAGATAGTTTCCTACTTGGAGTTTGGACGTTGATTTAGTATTCCCATAGTTTCCTTTTGTTCCTTCTCTTACCAAGATAGAAAGCTTAAACAATCGTTCGAGCACGCGTCTAATTAGAATAGATTTTATGATACAATCACGACCTAATTTACAATTACAGTCACTCACACACGCAAAAACGAATGTTAATAACGGAACTCTTACACCAAACAAAAAAAGTAAGTCGGATTTTTGAATCCAGACATTAGAGAGAGAGAGAAAAAGAGAGCCCACAAAGGGGCCGAATGTGACGTAAAAGTAGAGCTACCTACCAAAATCCAGCCCTATCTGTAACCACTAACCACTCGTCATTTTCACCAACTCGGTCAAATCCTTCCCTCCCCACCTCAACTCTCCTCATAAATCTCTCTCTCTCTCTCTCTCTCTCTCTCTCTCTCTCATCATCCCCACCCTTTCTACATATAAATCTCTTTCTTCCCAAAATTTCAACAAAACCAAAACTCTCTTTCTCTTTCTCTGTTCTGAATTGTACTGGTCTTTCTCTTCTTATCCTTTTCAGCTCTTTCAAAACCGGTACAGACAAAACACCACAAAAAAACCAGTCCTACTTATCCATATAACAACTCACTGTTTGCTACATATACCACAATCTCTCTCTTCCTATATCTACTTATTGCAGTTCTGTTCTCTTCTGTTCAATCTGATTTCTTAATTAATCATTACAAAAATTAAGCAGCAACAACAAGAACAAGAACAAGAACAAAAAATTTGATGGGGAGGTCACCTTGCTGTGAGAAAGCTCACACCAACAAAGGCGCTTGGACCAAAGAAGAAGACCAGCGCCTCATCGATTACATCCGCGTCCATGGCGAAGGCTGCTGGCGCTCCCTCCCCAAAGCCGCAGGTATATATATATATATATATATATTTTCAAATCTTTAAATTCAATTATCTATATATATAATACTGTTTCATATGTACTTAATTATAACCCATGATTTACTTTTGCTTAAACTAATTGAATTTGTACTTATTTTTGTGTCGAATTAATGCCTATAGGGTTGCTTAGGTGCGGAAAGAGCTGCAGGCTGAGATGGATAAACTACCTTCGCCCTGACCTCAAGCGTGGAAATTTCACAGAAGAAGAAGATGAGCTCATCATCAAGCTTCATAGCTTACTTGGAAACAAGTATGTAATCTTATTCATGGCCCACTTTTCTTTGTTGGTTGGTTTGTTGCTGGGAAAATTATTGTTAGGAAATCACTTTGTCAATCTTAACTACTTTTCTTTTAAACAACTACGAAATTTCGTCATGAGATTTGAATTCAGTACCTCCTTCAACAAAATACGAGACGAAATAATCATTGAATCATTGAAATTCAGTGATCATTCTTATTGGTTTCGTTCATGATATTTGAGCTCAGACTTTTCTTACTAGACGAAATGATCGTTGGAAAATTCAATTGTCATTCTTATTAATTGTAATTTGGTTTGTTGTTTTTAGGTGGTCATTGATTGCGGGGCGATTGCCGGGAAGAACCGACAACGAAATAAAAAACTACTGGAACACACACATCAAGCGGAAGCTCATCAGCCGCGGCCTCGACCCTCAAACCCACCGTCCGCTCAACGACACCACAACCGCCGCCGCGGCAGCCCCGACACCCGCTTCTCGCTTAGATTTCAGAAACATTTCTCCGCCGTCCGCCGTCGTTGATAAAACCACCAATAAAAATTCCATATTGAATCACAAAACCATCAACACAACCTCCTCGAACAACAACAACAATATTGTACTGTTCAAGCCCAAGATGGAAGAGGACAACATAGAAGAGGCCAGCAGTGGGACCACCACAGAGGAAGACCACCAACAACAACAACATCAGCAGCAGAAATTGCAAGATCATTATATGTACAAGTGTAGTGACCTCAACTTGGATCTTTCAATTGGGCTGGAGCCCTTCCAGTCCGAGCCAACTCGGGCTTCGTCAGGGAACTCGGCCGAGTCAAGACTGCAGCAGAATAATTACCAGGTTTTTGGGACAGTCCAGAAGGCGGTGGTGACTCAGGCGGTGTGTTTGTGTTGTCAGGTTGGATTTCAGAGCAGTGAGGCTTGTAGGAATTGTCAGTGCACAAATGGGTTCTACAGATTTCACAGACCTTTGAATTCATAGCATGGTTTTTTCTCTTTTTGGGGTTAAATTCTTTTTTTCTTTTGATAAATCTTATAGATTTGGTATAGTTGTTGTCACCTTCACTTGAATCCATTACTTTCTGGATGTAACTCTTGTTGTACGAGTAATTATAGTGTTATTATGGAACAAGTATATTATAATGAAATACTATCGTCTATTCATATTATAACATGCGAACTCGTCTATTCATATTATTAGAACATGCAAATTGACTATTCATATTATAACATGTGAATCGGTTGAATTAGGTGATCGTATTTTAGTACTATTTAATAATTATTTGCTTCTGATCTCACTTTTTCTGTTTTGAATTTTGTCTTTGTACAATTCATCATTGAAATTAGAGATTTGATGAGTTCACTCAATATTTCATTTGAAATTTGAGATGTAGGGTCGCTAAAACTGATGAGGTTTTGGCTATATTTAAAACTTGTCGCATGTGCAAAGATCCTACATGTGCATTTGATGCA